TGATGCTTACTCATCACATTAGCATTTTTAGTGTTTCTTTCAAAATGACTAGGTAGAGCTGCTTCATCCCAGGAAAGAAAGCATAGGGAACCCTTGCTGCTGAGCTAGCACTTCTTAACTAGATCATGCGAAACCTCTGAGTATTTGGAACTGCATTCTTCTTTTTTTTCTTTTCATAAACTGTAAAATGCTCACCCTGAGTGGTGGGTGGGTGGGAAATTACTGCGATGCAATGGTAGACTTCAAGTGCGCTCCCCCAGGTCACAAAACAAAAAGCCTCACAAACATACCCGATTCAGATGCTTGAATCGTGTGGCTGATTGAATCAATGAAAGATATCCAGGAGGAAGCAAGGGAAGGAGATGGAGTGGTGGGCAGACACACTTAGAACAAAGTGCAAGTGGGGGTGGGGAGGACAGGAGACCCTGCTGATCTGCTGGCTTATCCTCTGTTCACATGTTCAATCTCCCTCTCTCTGGGCCCTGACAGCGTTGTTGCGGCTGCTCTGGCCACATGGACTGGACCTGAGGCTATAAAGAAAGGGGTACAGTACAGACAGACATTGACTGTCTGCATTAAAAAATCTCTTCTCACCCACCTAAGACATCCCAGAAAAGCACTTTTGACTGCTGGTTGATAAGTTGCAACTGACTGGGTCAGCTTAGTGGATCTGGAGGTGGGGGGGGGGGGTGGGGATAAAGAAAAAAAATGGGGTGTTCAGTGGATGGGAGGTGCGTGGAGCCAGCACGCTTTCTCTATTGGAGAGACTCAGGGACGTGTACACTGCCCAGAGCTGTAGTTTGTCAGCGCACTTTGGTGATCAGCGATGGGTTTAGTTTAGCATTTCTCAGAGTACATGTGGGGGCACGGTGGGAATGGCATTGGGTGGCAGGGACGCGCTGTCATTCCGAAGGCGATGTGATTTGTACATTATGACCTGGTCCTCCCACCGCTTCCTATTTATAAGTAACACTCTTATTCCGTTCTTTTTATCTGCGTCCGACACACTCACGTTCCACTCATTCCAGATGTTTGACACATTTCGCGGGCTTCTGACTTGCTATCCACATTTGACACGTCCTGTGATCATTGTCCATCCCACTTGTTTTCCTTGTTCTCTCTGGCAGAATCGAATATTCTAAAACACAGCAAACATACATTATAGTGGTTGAATATGAAAGTATAATATTCACTATAGGTTCTCAGTTGGTTTTTATTGCTCTCTTAATGCCAGGAAAACAGCAGGCTGCTGCCAAGGAGGTAACATATCATTATTTTCAGTAATTGATAACTTTACATTTATGATCTGGAAGATCATTAGAGGAGAAAAATGATAAAATCCGGATGTTTAATAGATGGAAAATAGCCTCAGTACCCTGTTTTGCTATGCAGGGTTAAAGTGATTAACAAAATGGTGAGACTCGGAAAGAACCTGGAGATCATGAATTTTAATCCTCAGTTTTCAGATGTGGAGGGTGAGGCTCAGAGAGGTCAAGTATCTTACACTAGGGGGCAGAGCGAGGTGTCTGCTAAACTTAGAGAAATCTTCAGTCCCTTGAGCCCTGGTCCCGTTTTCTTGCCACTGAACTGTAAGAAGAAGTGGCATTGTTTTCTTGTGCTCCTTTAGTGGTTGAATTATGGTAAACGTTTACTTGAAAGAGCTTTTCTGAAAATGAGAATGTATATAAAGTCTCAATGCATCAAAATAGATGTTTTTTACATTTCACTCTGGTGAGTGCTAATGGGGTGTTTACTTCACGGTGCCAATCACTCACAGAGACGGACGAGGAGAGCTGGCGAGAGACATGTTCTCTTCCCGGGGAGGGTTGGGTGAAGCAGAAGTGTGGGATTGGATTAGACCATTAGTGGGGTGTCCCAGACAGAGCGGGGGCTGAATTGACACCCACCATCATTTTCTTTAATTCAGTGGCAGCTGGCGCTTGAGAAGTCCCCATTGATCTCCTCGTTTTCCTAACGATATCCCTATATTCTGACTGATATTGGTAGTCATTTGAAGTGACAATATAAATGACAAAAATAAATGGAAAGCACATTAATTCAATAAGTCTTTATTGGATGCCTGTTTTCTGCCAGGCACTAGGAACTGTAGACAGAACAGTGATAAACAGATATGCCTGCCCTCATGGAGCGTAAGTCTGGTGGGGAAGGAAAGGAAATAAAGTAGGAAACATGAAATACGTTCATGATGTAAGGAAGTAATAAACTGATCACAATGCACGTACTATAGTATGTGTTGTGGAGAGAAAAACCAGAGTGGCGTGGTAGACATTGATGGAGAACCTTGCTTTGGAGAGACAGACCAGGAGGTTGCATGGGCCGCCAGAGCTGAAGGAGGAGGAGCCAGGCTTGTGGATGGTAGGAGGGGAGCCCTCTGGGGACAGGGAAGGGGACAAAGACCCTGAGGCAGGAGTGGGCTTGGGGAGCTCCTCTCGCCACCAAGAAGGGTATGATGTTGGGTGGGAGACGTAGGCAGGAGTCACTTTATATGTTACCCGCAGGCCATGCTCAAGAGCCAGGATGGTATCCTGGGAGCAATAGGAAGCCATCAGAAGGTTTTAAGCAGGAAACGGAAGTGATTCTGACTTATGCTTTTGAAAGAGCTCTTTGCTGTGGGAAGAGTGGAGAAGAGAAGATACTATGGAAGCAGGGAGACAGTTAGGGAGCTACTGGAGGTGTCCCAGGGAGAGATGACGGCAGGTTGGACGCGAGTTTGAAGAGTAGAGTTGGGAGGAAGTAGACAGATTCCACACACAGGAACTCTCCTCACTCACTCTTGGATTGGATATGAAGAGTAGGGGAAAGGGAAGAATCAAGGACAATTTCTGTTTGTTTTTTTTTTGGCTTGAGAAACTGGGTGGTTCTCTTTACTAAGACTGGGAATGTAAGGAGAAAGTTCCTTTAGAGGGCTGGGGGAGAGAACAAGAACTCTTCTCTGGCCATATACAATTTGAAATGCTTATTAGACTTTCATATGGAGTTACTAAGAAGGGTATTGAATTTATGAGTCTGTTGCCTAAGGGAAGGTTGAGGTTGCAGATATAAATTTGGAGATCATTGGCCATGGGGCTGGATGATACCAACCAGGGAGAACTGAGTGAGAGATGAGAACACCCACAACCGATGTAATGTTTATACCCCTTTTCTCCAGCGTACACTGATAGATTGTGGCTCTCTTTCCACTGGGTCTGAGCTCCAGAATCCTCTGAGCTGTCCCGGGAGCCACTGCCAATCAGTAGATTCCTAATTGGTGACTAAAGAAGGAAATAGTAAAAAGGAAAACAAAAGTAAACATGTAAGTTAACCTTGCAAGCCAAATGTTTTTTTCTGGCACTAAATTCTAGGCGGAATTTATCACAAGGACCTTTGTCTAGCAGCAACGATAAAATTAATGTTAACAAACATTTGCCAGTGATCTGTAGTTTACAAAGCGATTTGTTCATGCATTTAATAGGTTTTGAATATCATCCTGAACAGTCTTTGGCTGGGATTTTGCAGGAGGTATGGGCATATTCTTTAAGTGGCACTCTCTTATCTCAGCCCTTGACCAAGCTGACAGTGGGCCACTTAGCAGTACAGTAGTGAAAGCCTTTTTTTGGACAGAAAAGCAGATGTCCAGGTAGGTTAATGCTGGTAGAGTGAGCTCCCTGGGCTGGGTGCCTCCAGGGGAGAGAGGACCAACCCTCATGCCATTCCCAGCCTGACTTTCACTGATGGTAGTCTGCAGTTTTATTTTCTGTGCTGCAAATTTGAACCAGCTACTCATGGAATTATGGAAGGTTAAGCATGGGAGGTCTTGACAAATGACCTAGTCTACACCCTCATTTTGCAGAAGAAAAGACTGAGGTCAAACCAAGGTCAAGAATTCAAGGATTTCCTTTTTGTTAAAAGCCACTGTTTAGGCTGAGGTTCTTTAAGGTCCATGTACCAGCCTGTGATGTCACTTGGGCAATGCCGCCAGGCAGCCTTTGAGTTCTGCATTCCCAAAGCTCCTCCTGCAGCCCCGGAGAGATAAGCGAGTACTTACAGTCAGAGGACGTGGTCCGGGAAAGGGAAGTCCTACCAAACCTGCCTTTGGTGTTCATTCGTCATTCTTTGAAGAGTTTTCTCTCACTCGGCTCGCTTGGTGTCCACTTTCTGATGCCAGGAAGTGTAGTGTCAAAGGAGGAGATAATGCCCAGTGGAGTATGAAATGATGAATGTCTCTCGTTATACGGATGTTGCAGGAAGAGAGAGTCCCGTCCAGAGGCAGGGTCAGCTGGACTCTCACACCTCTAGGCCTGCAGAACTGGCCTGAACTTTGATAAATATTTCATGAGGAAAGTCATCCACTGCATGCATACAGAGAAATGCCAGGCACGTGTATGGATCACGAGCATGCCTTGTATTTATTCTTTAAGCAAAAGCAGTGTTGTCTGGTGTTATTGCGCTGGTAAGTCTTGGCGGGGTACAAAGCAAGGACAGGTTTCCCTGTCTGCACTGTGGAGAGAAGGACACAGAGTCCATGGGAAAAGAGAAATTGGAACCTGCGGAGTGGCATTGGGGTCCTGCTAGACTCAGGAGGCTCGGAAGTTAGGACCCCATGTGTCTGATCGCCTCTCGCCTTATTCACAGTCAACTTCGCTTGCAGCGGGCCACATCGCTCAGTGTCCTGTCAAAATCCCGGTCAGGAAAGCCCTAGTTTGTTGTGAACTTGTCAAAGGGACACGTGGGCATGGCGGCAGAGATGGCATTTCTGGGTTTTGCATTGAGTGAATGTAGCTGTGTGGAGTGGGGGCTGGCGTCTGAAAAGGAAAAGTATGGGGAAAATGAAAAATGCAACCTGGGTCCTTCGGACATGACATTTTAAACTGTGCCTCTTTTCTCTTCCTCCTTCTCATGTTCCCACTCCTCTTTTTCCTTCCGTATTTTTTCTTCTCCTCTTCCTTCTCTTCCCCTCTTTCCCCCTCCCGCTTCTCCCGCTCTTCCTCCTCGACTCCTAGATACACAGAGAGAAATCCACGCGGCCCCTCACGTGAGTGAGAAACTAATCCAGCTGTTTCGGAACAAGAGTGACTTCACCTTTTTGGCCACCGTACAGCAGAAGCCATCGACTTCGGGAGTGATACTGTCCCTTCGAGAACTGGAACACAGGTACGCAAGTCTGCCCCGGAGCACCCGCATAGGACTGGTGCGCGGACAGGCGCCTTGGGGTGCAGAGGCTGGGGCTCCAGTCAGCCGGCCGAGGCCTCGTTCCCTTTGAACACGTCAATGCATTTGCCTCGCAGTGAGAATTTGCCGTGGGCCACGTGGCTTTCTTGTGTGCTCTCCCAGGACCGCTCACGAGTGTGTCCTTCTGACCTGTCTTCTGCTAGACCTTGCTCCTATAAAACCGCATTCTGTCCATCACATTCAGGTCATCAAGCAAGTTAATTAGTAGTATTTAAGTGACCTTTAATAAGTATTTATGATGCAGAACTGGGCTTGACGCTAGGAATATTGAGATGAATAATACAGAATTTTTATTCTACGGGTCACATGAACCAGTAGGGAGGATGGACACATAGATAGCACACAGTACTGTAGGTGCACTGCTAATAATTTCTGTTCAGGAAATAAAGGTATTCGTGGTTAATTCCACCACGGGTTGCGGTAAGCCCCGAAAGGCTTCAGAAAGGATGATGGTTAGATAAGGACAAAAGTGAGCAGATATTGGACAGGCTGAATGAGAAGGAGGAAGGGGTTGAAAGAACAGCATGTCAGGAAGAGGTTGCCATGATTTTGAGAAGGGACAGGTAGGTGGGTAAAAATAGTAGCAACTAACATTATTTTGAGCATTGATTAATGCCAGGCATTGTTCTAAGCATTTTATACTAAACTCATTAAACACTTAACTATCATGACTGGTTAATAAGTGAGATAATGTAGGTATTTTTTGAGGGATGGGCTTTTTGATTTTTTTTTTTTTAATGCTCTGGACTGGTTTAAATATATAGGTAATACTTATTTTATAAATGTTTCTGATAGAATTAGCATGAATATATTATGGGCAGAAAATTTGATTTTGGGGCTGGGAACTCTTTTATTATTGAAAATGTTCATTTCCTATTTCTTTTATGTTACTATATTTGATTAATTTTAAACTCTTCTTTGGATCAACTTAAATTTTGTTAAATCGTGTATTTCATTGTTTGCATTTTTGGAGCAAATAGTTGACATTATATTCTTTCATTTAAAAACATTTTTATATTTGTAGTCATATCTTTTTAAATTTGTAATGTAAACACTATGTATTTCCTTCTTTTCTTGGTTCGGCTCATCATGGGATTTCGTTATCTACGGGTGTTTTTTAAATGAAACAGTTCTTAGTTTTATTGATCTAAGCTACTGTTTTTCATTTTAAGTGCATTGATTTCTGCTTCTTACCTCTTTTCAATCATCTTGCTGGTATTTTTACTAGCTTCTTGAATGTTCAGTTGCTTTCATTATTTTCTGTTCACTGAATGCCTTATATTTTCTTGTGAGTATTACTTTGAATATATCCCATTAATATTGCCATATGATGTTTTCATTTTCTGTACTTTTCTATAGTTTTAAATCTCAGGTTGACATCCTCTTTGATCCAAGTTATGGGAGTGTTTAAAAATTTCAAAGTGATCAAATTAAAAAATACTTAATGGATGACTTCTGGTTTTATTTACAGACCTAAAAATGTGCTCTAGACTTTTGAGTTTGCTGAATATTTTTTCTGAGATGGAGTTTTTGCTGAAATGGTGGCTGTGTAACATGCTCAGTAATTTAATTTTGGGGGAGGGGGAACCTTTTAAAAGAATGGGTAGTTTTTGTGAGTAGATACATACAGATACAACTTTGAATATAGTACTTTCCAGTTATGTTATTTGGTTTCTATGTACTTAAATTATGACATTTTGAGACAGGTAGGTTAATAGCTTCCACTGTGATGAGAACTTTGTCATGTCATCCTTGGGTAGGTTTGAGGGCCAGGCAGGACTACGTATGCCATGCATTACCTGCACCACGTTCATTGACCAGTCCTGGGAAGTCTGGTCTAGCAGTGGACGAAGGATAAGAGAACATGGATGTTGGAATAACTAGGCAGCTTCTGTCTTGATTGTTTGGGATGTTTCCTTTTTAGTCTGTGCCGAAATACATAAGAATCACATGGGTAAGAGACTTTATTCCATAGGTTTTTTTTACCCCAAGCAGTACTCTTGGGCTCGTAGTATGCATTCAATAAATACATATTGAACATATAGATGATTCATTTTCTCCATCTCTGGTTAGCACTGCTCAGAAATTCATGGCTAGTTTCAAAGGTTCCTGTGGAATATGTTATCCCAGGCACAGACCTTCCCTGGATGTACCACACGCAGAGGCTGCACAGGACAATGGAAAGGGCAGGCGTTCGTATCTGGACACGGAAATAAAGAATCCCTGGAGATTTTTGTGAGGATTAGAAATACTTGTAAAACATGTAGTGTAATTTTTGGCCCAGATGGGAACCCAACAAAAAAGCCTTTTTAGTTTAACTTGAAATAAAAAAAAAAGCCAGGGTGCGGTGGCCATGGTGGTGGCGGTGGCGATGTTGAAATTTGATGCTGAAGGAAAATAGAGGCTGAGGCATGGCCAGATGAGCAGCTGTCACTTTTCTCTAGTTCAGTGGTTAGCGGGAAATGATGTATCTCACCCAGGCTTTATGGTGGTGTTCGGTTTCCAGTCCAAGCTCACCTTGGCCGATGAGCACAATGGAGGAACAGCATCCCGGATCTGAACACTCTCCCTAGCCATCATGTGCACCACAGGAAGTAATTATCCGACTGCCTTTTCCAAAGCTGTCATCCAGAAAAACTGCATTTACTGTTTGGGAAATCACTGTTTTCAATTTCTGCTAGGCTTCCGGCTATTCTCAGACAAGGCCATTACTGAATTAATGTCAGAAGAGTTCATTCAGTGGCCGAGTTCCCTTCTAGGCAAAGGCAGGCGTCTCTCACACCTGGTGGGGATCTAGCAGCCTGAGGTGGGTCGTTTGAGTGGCTGTGATTCCTGAAACCAGAGTGAACTTCTTGGCACAGCAATACCTGCAAACTTCCCAGGTAACTGAGCCATTTGAGTTCCCATGAATATCTTAAGTGAATAGGTAAAATGAAATGGAAAACTTAAGTATAAAGGTGATTGAAAAACATACCTAGGGGTAGCAATTGAAATAGACTCTTATGTAATGGAATGGGCACTCTTATTCTAATCTATATTTCTAATGCGATGGATTTTTTTTTTTATAGCACCAATAGAGCACATTGGGAAGAGCGACAAAGATGAATCTTTCTTGCCGAACTATCTCAATGACATTGCAGATTTAATGTTTATTTTTCGTAATTCAAGTGTGGATTTAATATAGGGCTTTGTTGAAATGCAAAGCTTATTTAACGTAGATTAAATCTAATTGAACATTCTGCCAGTATATTCAAGTCTATAGGATATACTGGTAAATCTTCTGTTTATCAGTTTTATTCTTAAATTATAGATGAACTTACATCTAAGCATAGTTGGATAGGAAGCTGAAATTTAGGGTCTAAGGAAAAGTTTCCCAAGGGACTTGTCTGTGAGAAGATGAAGAGGACATTTGTGGCTTCCTATGAAGGCATCTCTTTTATTTAAACAATTTTCTATTTCAAAAGGTACTCTTCAGTTTTCTGAGTTCTTGTGGTAGGAAGAACTTTCCACTTTGATGCCAAATAGACTTGGGTTCAATTCATAGTTTTATCAGTCGCCAGAGTGTAAGCTTTTGCAATTGCTTGTAATGTGCCTGGCCTCAGTGTAACCTTCAGGAATAGTGAGGGCATCGGTGGCAGCATCGTGGAGCGGTTGGGAGGGCCGACGAGCGCAGGTGAATGGGCCCTCACGCTTCTCGTATGTTAGATGCTCAACAAATGCCATTTTCCTTCTCCTCTGGCTTCTTTCAGTACTCCTTAACCCCTCTCCAAGTTCTTCAGAAGCGAAGACATAGATATGGGGAGCTTCTCACCATTTGAAATGGTAATTAGGTTTTTCACCTCAAGAGTTGGTTATAGATAATCCAAAATAATGGGTTGTCCTAATGGAATGCATTCAGTCAGTAGCAGGTTTATCTTTCTAATTATGGATCATTTAAGCTTTTATATATCTATATATCTCTATCTCTATAGCTCTCTTTCTCTCTCTCTCTCTATATATACATATATACGTGTGTGTGTGTGTGTGTGTGTGTGTATATATATAAATAAAATTTGGTACCATCAGATAATTTATTGAAGAATATCAGAATGAAGGAAGGAGGTAAGGGGAGGAAATTCCAGAAGCATGTCACATGGTTTGATGACACCAGCTCAAGAAAGAACTCATCCCTGGGGCGGTTGACAGTAAGGAGATTTGACTTTGGGTGGTAAACAATGCAACATACGGATGCTGTATTATAGAATTGTACACTTGAAACCTATATAATTTTATTAACTGATGTCACCTCCATACATTTAATTTAAAAACACAGCACATTTCCAGCAATCGAATCTTCTACACACATTCAGAAGTTTAATTCCTTCCTCAAGGAGATATAGAATAAGTCTTATATGAAGAAGTAGATGTTTGCTGTTGTTAAAATTGCCTACATTTGGGAAGGAAGGGAGCAGAATTGAAATTGGAATCTCCCCTAATGCAGATCTATTCATGTGGCTTTCAAAGCATGCAGGCGCCCCCCCCCCCCTAAACACAACCGGGGAGGCTTTACATTTAGAGCTGTGTGTGATTATTCTGTAAGCTCCCTATTGACATCCAGGAAATAGCCCTGAAAACCTGCCCAGACCATGTGTGGTGCTAGCGCTGGGCTGTAACTGTAGAGCATACAGTGCTGGAGAACACCACAGCGTCTGGCCAGTGTCCTGGGGGGAGGAATACAGGGAGCACAGACCAGGGTACCTTGCCTTGCCCCACAGGAATGAATGGAAACATCCTTCCACCGAGGGTTAATGCTCATTAGGCAAAAGAGAATAAGTAGAAATCAGCCAGGAGAAGAGGAATGGAAGAGGGTTCTGGATGCAACATGAGTGAAGGGGCCAGCGAGGAGGGAGGTCATGGTGCATCAGGAGAACTGAAGGGACACC